GTATAACATATACACAAACACTCAAACACATTAACACCTACATTAACACCCACACTTACACATTAGCACCTACATATTTCCACGACAGTACTTGCTTGTTATTTTATTTTTATTAAGTATTTTGTTTTCTTTGTTTCATGTTCTGGATGCCTTAAAATGCTGCCTTAAAAATGCTTTAAAACAGTCATAATGACTGCTGAAGTGTCACACCTTTAAAACAGTCATAATGACTGCTGAAGTGTCACACCTTTAAAACAGTCATAATGACTGCTGAAGTGTCACACCTTTAAAACAGTCATAATGACTGCTGAAGTGTCACATCTTTAAAACAGTCATAATGACTGCTGAAGTGTCACACCTTTAAAACAGTCATAATGACTGCTGAAGTGTCACATCTTTAAAACAGTCATAATGACTGCTGAAGTGTCACACCTTTAAAACAGTCATAATGACTGCTGAAGTGTCACACCTTTAAAACAGTCATAATGACTGCTGAAGTGTCATACCTTTAAAACAGTCATAATGACTGCTGAAGTGTCACACCTTTAAAACAGTCATAATGACTGCTGAAGTGTCACACCTTTAAAACAGTCATAATGACTGCTGAAGTGTCATACCTTTAAAACAGTCATAATGACTGCTGAAGTGTCACATCTTTAAAACAGTCATAATGACTGCTGAAGTGTCACACCTTTAAAACAGTCATAATGACTGCTGAAGTGTCATACCTTTAAAACAGTCATAATGACTGCTGAAGTGTCACATCTTTAAAACAGTCATAATGACTGCTGAAGTGTCATACCTTTAAAACAGTCATAATGACTGCTGAAGTGTCACATCTTTAAAACAGTCATAATGACTGCTGAAGTGTCATACCTTTAAAACAGTCATAATGACTGCTAAAGTGTCACATCTTTAAAACAGTCATAATGACTGCTGAAGTGTCACATCTTTAAAACAGTCATAATGACTGCTGAAGTGTCACATCTTTAAAACAGTCATAATGACTGCTGAAGTGTCATACCTTTAAAACAGTCATAATGACTGCTGAAGAGTCATACCTTTAAAACAGTCATAATGACTGCTGAAGTGTCACATCTTTAAAACAGTCATAATGACTGCTGAAGTGTCATACCTTTAAAACAGTCATAATGACTGCTGAAGTGTCACATCTTTAAAACAGTCATAATGACTGCTGAAGTGTCACATCTTTAAAACAGTCATAATGACTGCTGAAGTGTCACATCTTTAAAACAGTCATAATGACTGCTGAAGTGTCATACCTTTAAAACAGTCATAATGACTGCTGAAGTGTCACACCTTTAAAACAGTCATAATGACTGCTGAAGTGTCATACCTTTAAAACAGTCATAATGACTGCTGAAGTGTCACATCTTTAAAACAGTCATAATGACTGCTGAAGTGTCACACCTTTAAAACAGTCATGATGACTGCTGAAGTGTCACATCTTTAAAACAGTCATAATGACTGCTGAAGTGTCACACCTTTAAAACAGTCATAATGACTGCTGAAGTGTCACACCTTTAAAACAGTCATAATGACTGCTGAAGTGTCATACCTTTAAAACAGTCATAATGACTGCTGAAGTGTCACATCTTTAAAACAGTCATAATGACTGCTGAAGTGTCATACCTTTAAAACAGTCATAATGACTGCTAAAGTGTCACATCTTTAAAACAGTCATAATGACTGCTGAAGTGTCACATCTTTAAAACAGTCATAATGACTGCTGAAGTGTCACATCTTTAAAACAGTCATAATGACTGCTGAAGTGTCATACCTTTAAAACAGTCATAATGACTGCTGAAGAGTCATACCTTTAAAACAGTCATAATGACTGCTGAAGTGTCACATCTTTAAAACAGTCATAATGACTGCTGAAGTGTCATACCTTTAAAACAGTCATAATGACTGCTGAAGTGTCACATCTTTAAAACAGTCATAATGACTGCTGAAGTGTCACATCTTTAAAACAGTCATAATGACTGCTGAAGTGTCACATCTTTAAAACAGTCATAATGACTGCTGAAGTGTCATACCTTTAAAACAGTCATAATGACTGCTGAAGTGTCACACCTTTAAAACAGTCATAATGACTGCTGAAGTGTCATACCTTTAAAACAGTCATAATGACTGCTGAAGTGTCACATCTTTAAAACAGTCATAATGACTGCTGAAGTGTCACACCTTTAAAACAGTCATAATGACTGCTGAAGTGTCACATCTTTAAAACAGTCATAATGACTGCTGAAGTGTCACATCTTTAAAACAGTCATAATGACTGCTGAAGTGTCACATCTTTAAAACAGTCATAATGACTGCTGAAGTGTCACATCTTTAAAACAGTCATAATGACTGCTGAAGTGTCATACCTTTAAAACAGTCATAATGACTGCTGAAGTGTCACACCTTTAAAACAGTCATAATGACTGCTGAAGTGTCATACCTTTAAAACAGTCATAATGACTGCTGAAGTGTCACATCTTTAAAACAGTCATGATGACTGCTGAAGTGTCACACCTTTAAAACAGTCATAATGACTGCTGAAGTGTCACATCTTTAAAACAGTCATAATGACTGCTGAAGTGTCATACCTTTAAAACAGTCATAATGACTGCTGAAGTGTCACATCTTTAAAACAGTCATAATGACTGCTGAAGTGTCACACCTTTAAAACAGTCATAATGACTGCTGAAGTGTCACATCTTTAAAACAGTCATAATGACTGCTGAAGTGTCATACCTTTAAAACAGTCATAATGACTGCTGAAGTGTCATACCTTTAAAACAGTCATAATGACTGCTGAAGTGTCATACCTTTAAAACAGTCATAATGACTGCTGAAGTGTCACACCTTTAAAACAGTCATAATGACTGCTGAAGTGTCATACCTTTAAAACAGTCATAATGACTGCTGAAGTGTCACACCTTTAAAACAGTCATAATGACTGCTGAAGTGTCACATCTTTAAAACAGTCATAATGACTGCTGAAGTGTCATACCTTTAAAACAGTCATAATGACTGCTGAAGTGTCACACCTTTAAAACAGTCATAATGACTGCTGAAGTGTCATACCTTTAAAACAGTCATAATGACTGCTGAAGTGTCACACCTTTAAAACAGTCATAATGACTGCTGAAGTGTCACATCTTTAAAACAGTCATAATGACTGCTGAAGTGTCACATCTTTAAAACAGTCATAATGACTGCTGAAGTGTCACATCTTTAAAACAGTCATAATGACTGCTGAAGTGTCACACCTTTAAAACAGTCATAATGACTGCTGAAGTGTCACACCTTTAAAACAGTCATAATGACTGCTGAAGTGTCACATCTTTAAAACAGTCATAATGACTGCTGAAGTGTAACATCTTTAAAACAGTCATAATGACTGCTGAAGTGTCATACCTTTAAAACAGTCATAATGACTGCTGAAGTGTCACACCTTTAAAACAGTCATAATGACTGCTGAAGTGTCACACCTTTAAAACAGTCATAATGACTGCTGAAGTGTCACATCTTTAAAACAGTCATAATGACTGCTGAAGTGTCACACCTTTAAAACAGTCATAATGACTGCTGAAGTGTCACATCTTTAAAACAGTCATAATGACTGCTGAAGTGTCACATCTTTAAAACAGTCATAATGACTGCTGAAGTGTCACATCTTTAAAACAGTCATAATGACTGCTGAAGTGTCACATCTTTAAAACAGTCATAATGACTGCTGAAGTGTCACACCTTTAAAACAGTCATAATGACTGCTGAAGTGTCACACCTTTAATCTTTGAAAAACAGTCAAACCAGCCGCGGGCCTGAAGTGTCACTGTGGCTCAAACTTGCTCACACTCCTGGGCCTAGGGTCACATGACAGTGTGAACAATGACATTGGCCCATTAGCGCCCCCTACAGACTGAGTAAAGGGTACATGGGGATTAACAGGTATTTAGGTTTTCTGTTGTTTGATCTCATATTTGACCCACTGAACAAAACACAAAAACTCCAAAAAAACTTTGCCACAAGTTTTTTCATGCAAAAAGTGTATTATTTTGGTGTTTCTTTGGTGCAACACAAAAACATTTTAAATTGTAGGGGGCGCTTATTTTACCACACAAATGCCACCATTTGCACATACAAAGTCAGATTTTCACGAAACTTGAATTGATTGTTCAACTCTCGGGTTGGTAAACTGAAAGTGTAAAAGACAAATTGCGCGCCCCCTACAGACTGAGTCAAGTATTACATGGGAGAATGAGGTTTACCTTTTCAAATACACCCACAATCACTGATCATAGCATATTCAAACTGCAGTGTCACTCCCGTCAGGGTAGTGGGGATAATGGGCGTCAGCGCCACCCTCGTTGCGTTGTGCGGCGAGGGGCGTTCGACGCCGCTTTTGCGGCTTTAATTTTGTCTTTGAATTTCTATCACTGAAAATTTGGTTTACAAATTTGATGTGATTAAAATTACAAAATGACATATTCGCCTTTTTATAATTTGTTTGTTTTTGAGACTCCACAACAGGGATAAGGGTCTTTGTTTGTTTCTGAGACCAGGGTCTGGGACAACCAGGGGTTAAAACCCATTATAAGCCTCGAGGACCTAGGGTCTGTTTAGACTGTGGAACGCCCTGCCCCTGTCCCACGTCTGGTCGACTCTGCAGACTCTTTCAAAAAAGGCTTGAAGACTTATTTATTTAAGAAAGCTTTTAGTTGATCTGGGTTCTCACCGATGTCACTTTTAAGTACATAAAATGTGTAATGTGTGTAAGTGTATTTTATATTGTTTTGACCACTGTCCTGTACAGCACTTTGGATTTTTATCTGAAAAGCGCTTTATAAATAAACTTTACTTACTTACTTACTTACTGGACCAGGCTCTGACTGTGAGGACCACACTGACACACAAACACATAACACTGCAGCTACACAATCATAGCAACACACAACACTGCAGCTACACAATCATAGACACACACATTACTGCAGCTGAACACACAAACACACACTACTGCAGCTGAACACACAAACCTCCTCCTCCTCTTCATCCTTCGTCTTTAGGGCGTCTCTCGCAGCCATAATGATGGTGATGATGATGATGAAGATGGTGATGAAGATGATGATGATGATATTGATGATAACGATATTGATGGTGAAGATGGTGATGATGATGAAGATGGTGATGATGATATTGATGGTGATGATGATATTGATGATGATGATGGTGATGATGGTGATATTGATGATGGTGATGATGATTATGATGAAGATGGTGGTGATGATGATGATGGTGATGAAGATGATGATGATGAAGATGGTGATGATGATGATGATGATGATGAAGATGATGATTATGAAGATGGTGATGATGATGATGATGAAGATGGTGATGATGAAGATGGTGATGATGAAGATGGTGATGATGGTGATGATGGTGATGATGATACAATACAATACAATGTATTCTTGTATAGCCCTAGGTCACAACAGAAGTCATCTCAGAGACTTAACAAAACCATTGAAATCACCAACACAGGTCAGAGAATCAACAGTTAAAACACATGAAGAATATAAAGCACACACAGAAGAAAATGTCCATACATGTTGTAGAATGCTAAAGTGTCCTGATCATCACCAATCCTTTCTGTTGGACACTAACTGTCCAACAAGACCCTCCTGCATCCACAAGGAACAACTCTTAAAAAAACCCAGTGGGAAAAAGTGAGAAACCTTGGGGAGAACTAGGGAAACCCACAGGGAGGGAGACCCATTTGAGAAAGGGATCCGCTCCTCCGGACGGACAGGCTAATGATCCAGGACCTAAGCTAGCTACAGGACGTGGACCAGTGGCCGCTGAACGTGGACAGGTCCGGTGCAGGATTGAAGCACTCCCAGGCGGGTCGGGCGGGGCAGTCCGCAGGTGTAGATGGAGGAGGCCAGGCTCAGAGATCCCGTCATCGTACCATGAAACAGACAATGGGACAACGGGTGAATAGCAATGAACAAACTACAGTCAAAATCCTAATAATGCTAAACAGATAAAGTAGGAAGGAGGAGAGGATAGTGTTCAAGTTACCATACTTCTCCAGCAGGGGGCTCCCTATGCAGCTTGACTGACACTCTGAGGAGTTTAGCCTTCCCTGAGTCAATCAATCAATCAATCAAATTTTATTTATAAAGCGCTTTTCATACAAAAAGTGTAACACAAAGTGCTTTACAGTTTAGTTAAAAACAATCCAACATGCCCAGCCCTAAACCCTCCTCCCCACAGACCCCCCAAAACCACATTTATAATATTATATATACAATACACACACCCACACACACACACACACACACACACACACACACACACACATATACACAAGTATAAAGTCATATCAGGTAAAATAGGTAAAACAATAAAAAGAAATGGGGCTGGGAGCAGATGTAACCGGCTGAAGAAGCGTCATCCAAGGAGCCATCTGCACCAGGAGCAGAGAGCCGGCTGCAGCCACAGGCAACGACACAGGACCCAGAGGAGAGAGGGGCCCCAGACCCCACCAGGCCCAGGACTCAGACCCCATAGGACCCAGAGGAGAGAGGAGGCCCCAGACCCCCACCGGATCCAAGAGCCAGTCCCCCGAAGCCACAGCAGACCCCAGCTCTCAGTGCAGAGGGCTCCTCCAGAGGAAACACTGGGGACACTAAAACAATACAATAATACAATAGAAAGTAGAACAATAGAATGTGAAAATAAAAAGAAAAATGGCAGCTGCCTAATATAATAACAATAGTAAATGGGTAGATACAATAAATAATTAAAAATAGTAAATAATAAAAATAAATAAAAATATAATCCGTCTAAAAACATAAATAGATGTACTAAAAAGCAATAATAGATAATAAATACTAATCAAAAGCTGCTCTAAAAAGGTGCGTCTTGAGCCTACTCTTAAAAATATGAACGTTCTCTGCGGCCCTGAGCTCCTCCGGCAGACTGTTCCAGAGACGGGGGCCGTAGTGCTGGAAAGATGCCTCGCCGTGAGTGTGTGTCCTGACTTTGGGGATGGTTAGGAGTCTGCTGCCGGAGGAGCGCAGGGGCCGGGAAGGCTCATAGGATAAAAGCAAATCTGAAAGATAAGAAGGCCCAAGACCATTAAGACATTAAAGACCATTAAAAGAACCTTAAAATCGATCCTGAAACACACGGGGAGCCAATGCAGCGATTTTAAAACCGGTGTAATGTGGTCCCGCCCCCTGGTCTTAGTCAGGACACGTGCGGCCGAGTTTTGAAGTAATTGTAAACCTGAAATGTTCTTTTTGGGAAGACCAGAGAGCAGGGCATTACAGTAGTCAATGCGACTGGTGATAAAAGCATGCATCAGCGTCTCCGTGTTGGCCCGAGAGAGAATGGGGCGGACTCTGGCAATGTTCTTTAAATGATAAAAACCTATTTTTGTGATGTTCTTGATGTGAGGAATAAAAGTCAGCTCAGAGTCAAAGATTACGCCCAGGTTTCTCACTTGTGATGATGGATTAAAAGAGTGTGATTGGAGTTTCGGTAAAAGTTTCTCTCTCTGGGCCTCAGGACCGATGACTAAAACCTCAGTTTTGTCCTGGTTGAGCTGGAGAAAGTTTTCTGCCATCCAGGATTTCAGGTCTAAAATGCAGTTAAAAAGAGCATCCATTGGCCTGGTGTCATCAGGAGACATGGAGATGTACAGCTGTGTATCATCTGCATAACTGTGGAAGTCAAGTCTTACCTTCCTAGCCATATGCTAAACTAAAGAGGACTGTTTTAAACCTAGCCTTGAATAAAGAGAGCGTATCTGAAAGGAGGCGAGACAGCAGCAGCCACGGCTAGGCTAGTCTAGGTTACAGCACCAAGATTCATGGATTGCACACCAGGTGTGCAAACCGATCCAGGCAAACCTAATTATATATTATATATCATATACATGATAAGTTTGTGTAAGCCCTCAGTCGTACAGGGATTAGTCAAAGCGGACTTCTTCTTTCTGAAGAAGTCCGCTAGGTTGAGGACGAAACGTCGGGAAAACTTGCTAAGAAGTACAGATGATGGGTGAGAAACCTTCCTTTGCATATACATGATATATACCATACATACCATATATATCATATGTAATACACAACATAACATACAGCATAATATATAACATAATATACAACATAACACAATACATAACATAATACATATATTGTATAATATATAACATAATACAGCATATATATATAATATATACACCATATATTATATATTACCTAATTATATGCTAAATTAAAGTAGAGTGCTTTAAGCCTGGCCTTGAATGTGGAGACCGTATCTGCTTCCTTAACATAAATGGGAAGCTGATTCCACAGTAAAGGAGCTTGGAGCTAAATGCTCTGCCGCTGATACGTAGATACAGCTTCTATAATCATGACGGAGGCTCGGTAGTTTTACTGAACTTTCTTGTTCAGGTTTATTGAACAAAACACAGCGGCAAGTGACAACTTCTGCTGATTCACATTTTAGTTAAGATGGTTTCATAAAACTAGAACAGATCCTGTTTTCACCCTTCACAATAAAACACTTCCGTTTCTTCAAATTAAAACCATATGGCACTTTTTTACCGTACCTTGTAATTTGGAAATACGATTATAATTATGTTACAACTAATAATCAATGTTTAATGTCTAGAACTAAATAAGTCACAACATCCTCCCACCCAATGAACAACTGTTCATACGTATTAAATTGACCTTTAACCTATTTCTAATGGGTATAATAACTGAACAGGCCTTCTTAACACGCTACCTGTAGAAGTGCAAACATTACATGAACGTATGAGGCCATCTCTGCCTGGAAAGACCTCTACGAGTCTACCCATCTTCCATGTCTGTCTGGGTGTGTTGTCCTCCCCAATGAGAACAACATCTCCTACTTTAAGTGCTGTTGGAGTAGGCGTGTCCACTTTGTGAGCGGATTTCAAGTCCAATAGATAGTCTCTGCGCCAGCTGTTCCAAAAGCTGGTCAAAAGTCTCTGCCGGTATTTCCACCTTTTACCAAGCTCCTCACGGTTTGCTGTGAGCACCTGAGCTGGAGAAAGAAAAGTCTTTGGTGGCAAGGAAGTCAGGGCGGCACGGTGGCTGAGTGGATAGCACTCTCGCCTCTCAGCAAGAAGGTCCCGGGTTCGAATCCCGGTCGGACCAGGGCCTTTCTGAGTGGAGTTTGCAAGTTCTCCCCGTGTCTGCGTAGGTTTCCTCCGGGTACTCCGGTTTCCCCTACCACTAAAAATATGTACAATAGGTCTGGCATGTGCCTCCTGTACTGGCGACCCCACTCCCAAAAAATAACAATTGTAAACCGCTTTGAGACTCCGATGTGCAGTGAAAAGGCGGTATATAAATAAAGATTACTACTACTACTTACTACTACTTTACCAACCAGGAAGTGTGAAGGGGTAAGTGGCTGGGGCTCTAATACATCACTATGTACATACGACAGAGGCCTAGAATTCAACACTGCCTCAACCTCAGTAAGTACAGTTGTGAGTTCCTCAAAGCTCAAAGAGGCTTTTCCCAGTACCTTCTTTAAGCATGTTTTAACAGATCTCACAAGCCTTTCCCAGAAGCCCCCCCACCAGGCAGCCCGCTCAGCAATGAACTTCCAGGTGATCCCTTTCTCAGTAAAAAACTCTGTGAGCTTTGAACCTTTAATATTTTGCCATAACTCCTTTAAATCTTTGTCTGCTCTTTTGAATGTTTTAGCATTATCAGAGTAAATGATCTTACATAGCCCTCGTCTTGCAATGAATCGCTTTAAAGCTAATAGAAAGTTCTCTGTAGTCTGATCTAAAACCAACTCCAAATGTACTGCTCTCGTTACTGCACATGTAAACAGCGTGATGTATGCCTTTACTGGCTGCCCCTTAGATCTAACATACAAGGGTCCTGCAAAATCTACACCAGTAACTTCAAAAGGAGGTGACTCAGTTACTCTATCTCGAGGTAAAGGAGCGGTAATCTGCTTTGCTGCTTTAACCTTAAGTTTTCTGCAAATGTAACAACTTGAAACAATGCGTTTTACAAGCTGTCTCCCTCTCAAAATCCATGTTCTCTGAGTTGAATCAATGTATCTCGTACACCAGAATGCATCACCTTTTCATGACATGAATGAACCAATAGCTCAGAGTACTTGTGATTTGTTGGTAGTACCCAGGGGTGCTGTTCTCTGAAACTAAAATCAGAGTGCTGTAGTCTTCCCCCAACACTTAGTAGACCATTTTCATCTAAGAATGGTTTCAAGTCTTTGATTTTAGAGTCTCTTTTCACATTTAGTTTTGACTTTAGCTGGGATATTTCAGAGCTAAAACAACGCTCTTGCGTAGCCTTTACCCAGTACATTTCAGCTGCAATCAGCTCTTCTGAGGTTAACTCTCCCTGAACCTTTTGACAAGACCTTGTGTTAGTTACAAAGCGTTTTACCCATGCAGTGATTCTTAACACAGTCTTAAGCCTGCTGTACTTTTCTAAGTTCAACAGAGGTACCGTTTGTTCAGTGCTAGTGAATTGTACAACAGTCTGATACTTAGATTTCAGTTCAGTGTTTACCTCATTCACCTCAATGTCCAGCTCCCTTTCAGCTGTGGACAGTGAAGCTGGTCCGCTCCACCACAACTGGCTCTCAATAAGACTCTGTGCATGCTGACCTCGTGTAGGTAAGTCAGCAGGATTCATTTTACCAGCACAGTGGGACCACGTCTCCGGGTTTGTGAGCCCTTGTATTTCAGTCACTCTGTTGGCCACAAAAGGCTTCCACCGCTGGGCTGAGCTGCGGATCCAGTGAAGAGTGATCATCGAGTCCGTCCACATTTGAAGTTGGCTCTTCTCCATGTTCAGTGGTTTGAGAAGACTGTGTCCTAATCTTGCTCCAATAAGTGCACCCATAAGCTCCAGGCGAGGTAATGTCATTTTCTTTAGAGGTGCGACTCGCAACTTAGAGGCCACAAAGCTTGTAACAGTCTCTCCTTGTTTGTTTTTTCCTTGTAGATATGCCACAGCACTGTAAGCCTTTTCACTTGCGTCACAGTAGACATGCAACTTTACCGTGTGTGACTCTTGCTGGATCTCAATGTGGTACCACCTGGGAATAGCCACCAGGTGGAGCAGTGGTAGCTCCATACACCACTGTTCCCATTTTTCAGTCCAAATCAATGGGTAATGGTTCATCCCAACTGAGCCCTCTCTCCCACATTTCTTGGAATAGACACTTCACTCTGATAGTAAAGGGAGTGAGAAACCCAATGGGGTCAAATATGCGAGCCGATGTTTGTAGAACACTTCTCTTTGTGTTTTCTTTGTCCCGTAAAATGTCAATGAGTCCCTTTTGATCAAACACAAAATCATCTCTCTCTGGTCTCCAAACGAGTCCTAGCACTTAAAGCACATTTCCACAGGACTCTGTATCTCCAGTCAACTCTACTCCAGTCTCTTTCCACATGGCTCTTAGGTCAGGTGAGTTGGTAACCCATTTGCAGAGGTCCATGCCTGCCTGAGAGAGAATGTCTTTTGCTGTTGTTGTCACATGTAGAGCTTCCTGCACAGTAGGTGAGCTTGAAATAAAGTCATCTACATACAGAGAGTCACTGAGGATCTGTACTGCCTTTGGTTGTTCTGTGTCAAATAGTTTGAGGTGTTTTCTGATGGTGGCAGCAAGCAGGAATGGGCTGGGAGACACTCCGAAAACCACTCTGTTCATTCTCAGGACACATACCTCATTCTTGCAGTCTTTGGTCGGTGGTCCATGCATCCACAGGAACCTAACAGCATCTTTATCCTTTTCTGCGAGGGAAATCTGAAGAAAAGCCTTGGTTATATCAGCAGTGAAGGCAATCTCATGCAACCTGAATGTGATGAGTACTTCTAGCAGGTTTGGGTTTAGATTAGGCCCTGTGTGCAAACAGTCATTGAGGGATGGGCTGTCTGCATCATGTGAGGACGCATCAAATACCACTCTCAGTTTAGTTGTGGCCTTGTCCTCTCTTACAACAGCGTGATGTGGCATGTAATATCTTACAGTCTCTTGGTTCCCTGCCACTGTTTTGTCCTCTAAAACCTCCTCACAGATCCCTTGCTGCAGGTAGTCCTGTATTACGTTGTTGTACCTGGCATACAAGGCTGCATCAGTTTTTAGTTTTCTCATAAGGCTCTCAAAACGTCTCTTTGCTACCTTAAAGTTGTCTGGGAGCTGGTCTTTGTCAGATCGCCATGGTAACTCAACTTGGTAGCGTCCATTTTCTAATGTAGTAGTCTGTTCAAAGCTTTGTAAAATGTCTGAGTCCTCTGGGCTCTCCGCCTGTTTGTTTACAATGCCCAGGGACTCGACCTCCCAGAATGCATGTAACTGTTTGGAAATCTGGGTCTCTTCAGTCAAACTTATGTGCATGCAAGTGGTTTCTGTAACGCTGGAGGTAGTCACTGGCCCCTGTAAAGCCCATCCAAAAATACTCTCAACTGCCACTAGTGAATTTGTGACCTTTTGGACCTTTCCAGTGACTACTTGCCAGTAGTAGTCTGCTCCTATTAACACCTGCAACTCTTGATCGTTAGCACCCTCTAGTGGAAAGTCTGCGAGTTGAAGCCCTCTTTTCTTTATCTCTGCTTGAATGGGCTCGCTTGGGACTTTTATCACAGCACTGCACACCTGAGGAGTCTCTACAGCTTCAATCTCAAGTCTCTGTTCAGTGTTCCACATATTCTCGAGCTCAACTCTCACAACATTGCGTTTCTCTGTTACAGGAGAGGTGGAACCAAAAACATGGAGATTTAGTGTCTCTTGCCTTACAACTGGGAGTCCTAAGGCTCTGACGACGTTTCTGTGAATGAAACTTCGCTGGCTGCCTCCATCTAATAGACAGCGTGTTATCTTCCTCTCTTTTGGTCCTACAGTCCATGTCTTAACTGTCTGAAGTAGTACTGTGTTCTGAGTATTGGTCTTCACCTTTACAGGGCTCGTCAATGACGACAACACAGCTTCTGTATTTTCACTACTATTGGTAGTGTTAATATCTAGCTTGGCTTCAGACTGCTCACAAACTGACAAGTGGTGTTTCCGGTTGCATAAGCTGCACAAAACCTTTACTCTGCAGTATTTTGCAATGTGTTTTGGGCCTAAGCAGACATAACACCGTCCAAGTTTTCTCAGTTTATCCTTGCGTGCACTTACTGTATGGTCGGAACAGTTCTCTGGTTTGTGGTCGCTACTGTCACAATACACACAGGTCCGGGGCACGGCACTGGCGGTGTGCAAGGCGGTCGCTGACGGGACACTCCACTTTCTGGGTTTATCGCAGGCGTAGGATGGCTTACCCACATTCTTGTGTTGTGGGCTCGGATCCTTCGATGCATGGCCTGGTCTGGTAAGCTGAAGCGCTCGTTCTCTGCTTTGCACCTCATTTTGTAGAAACTGAATCAACTCTGGCACCTTCCATTCGTTGGTCGCGTTTGGTTGGCGGGTGTAGGCGAGTGCGATGTCCTCCGGAATGAGCTGCAGTAGCACTGGACAAAGCAGGCAGCCGTACGTGTCACTCTGGACTCCAAGTGACTCCAAACTGCGTATCTGGATCTCACATTCATCATACAAGTGCCTCAAAGCTGTAACATCAGAAGATCTTTTAACAGGGGTTAAGTTCAGTAGTTTGGACATATGGGCACTTATCACAATGTCCTTTCTCCCAAAGCGGCTCTGGAGTAACTCTATTGCAGCATCGTAGTTGGCATCTGTCATTGTAAGCCCTGCAATAGTTCTAGCAGCTGCTCCAGTCAGGTAGGATCTGAGGTAAGTAAACTTGTCTGTCTTGCATAGTACCTCATTTCTGTGAATAGCTGTTTCATATTGTGACCAGAATTCCTGCCACTGGCTTATTTCACCATCGTACTTTGTTATTATTAGCTTAGGAAGTTTAACAGTTTGTCTGGACTGTGATGTAAATGAACCACTGCTCCCATCGCTCACGCGCACTCTCGGGGTGTCTCTGATGGTTTCCTGATGCCCGATGGTGGTGGTGGCGCGAACCTTCCAAGTGAGAACGCGGTCCATGTAATCCAGTGTGCTTGAAATCTCCGTGTCCAGATCGTCCGTGGGAGTCACATCTTCTATGCCCTTGTCCAAGTCCAATAAACTGTCCTCCTTCGATGATAAAACTGCCAGAAACTCGCGTAGTTTGTCAATATCTGGTCTTTCCTTCCCCACCTCGTCCTCTAGGCGGGTTAACAGCCTCGTCGTAGCGGCGCGAATAGTCGCCCGCTTCCTTTTCAGCCGCTCGAGTCCCTCCGTCATGACGGCTGCTAAACCGAGCCTTTAGCTGTTCACTTCGTTCGAAAAAGTTCTTAAAGTCCTTACATCCCGGGTTTCGGCACCAAATGATACGTAGATACAGCTTCTATAATCATGACGGAGGCTCGGTAGTTTTACTGAACTTTCTTGTTCAGGTTTATTGAACAAAACACAGCGGCAAGCGACAACTTTTGCTGATTCACATTTTAGTTAAGATGGTTTCATAAAACTAGAACCTGTTTTCACCCTTCACAATAAAACACTTCCGTTTCTTCAAATTAAAACCATATGGCACTTTTTTACCGTACCTTGTAATTTGGAAATACGATTATAATTATGTTACAACTAATAATCAATGTTTAATGTCTAGAATAATGAACACAAAGAGGCCTTTGCCCATGGGGTTTAAGATGACCAATGTCCATGAGTGTAAATTAATGTGCAAAAATGTCCAAAAGCATATCCTGGGGTAGTGGCAAAGTGTCGGTAGTCAGAAGACTGAGGGGAGAGCAATGTCGGCATGCCATGAGAATATGTATAACTCCAATGTGAGAGCCAAAGCAGTTAAAATGCAAAAAAGTGTTTAATTTAAAGCTAAAAATATAAAATAGTTTTTTGTCGATCAGATTATATGTTAAAAATGGTTAAAACCCTAGAAAGTTAAAGTTAAACGGTTACAATTGTTAAGTTAAAGAAAGATTCTAAATGTTATAAGATTCTATAAGTTACTGTAAGTCTCATAAGGATTAAAGACTGTAAAAAGCTATTGCAAATATCTAAGTTTAAAAACAGGTAGAGCAGCTTTAAAATCAGAGACACTCCCATTATTTAGACTGCTCTGATGTCATCAGTTTGAGTTTTGAGTGCAGGTGTGGGAGAAGACAGATTTTCTACCTGCAAACTGTGGAGGACTGTAATGTTCATTTTCTATTATTTTTGTTCAATAAATGGACTTAAACGGATTACGTCTCCCTGGTCTCAGTGTCAGAAGAACTTTTGCACCTGGCTCACTGTGGCTGTCTTTAAATGAGCCACCACATTAGCAGAAAATCTTCTCCAGTCTCCTGACAAGGCCTGAATCCTGTGTAGCCACAAGTTGCTAAAGGACAAGTGACTACAACTTCTATGGAGGAGCTCAAGCCTTGGCTCTCATGGAGGTGAATAAATTAATGGACAGAGATTTAACTGTGAGCTTTGATTCAAACGTGGATTACATAAATGTGGATACTCAACCAGCTGTTTTCCTGAAACTCTCAGATCAAAGCCAAGACTTCATAAAGAAGTAGCTCATATTACACAATTTTACGCAGATTGTTTGTGGGCACAATGGCTGAAGATAAAGGAAAAGTGGGAACAACAGGAAAAACTAATACAGACGGAAAAATGATTGAAAAAGACAAAGAACCAAAAGTCACCGAGTTAAAGCAAGTGAGTACACAAGCTGAGAAAGCACTGGAGGAAAAGCTACACAGATTAATGCATTCAAGAAGAGGAGTTTTGGGTCATATCACAAGTAAGAAAAATGAAGTTGAAAAGCTAAAAGACTCTGCTAATGTTGAAAAAGTGACAGAAATAATGCAGCAGTTGACTGATGTGATATGCAAATTCAAAGATTTAACTATTAAAATTGGACAAGTGCTCAGTCCAGAAGAAAGTCTTTCAGACGAAGAGACTTGGTACAATCCAAAAATGAGCTACATTAAAGACTTTGTGTATGAGACCAAAGAGTGGTTAAATACTCACAGAAAATGCACTATCAATGAAAGTGAGCAGGATGTGGATCCTGGTGATGTCTATGGTGATGTTGGGCCAAGTGTATCGAGAGCAGCGTCAGAGTCGGGGCGCTCTTCTGTAGCGTCCAAACGCTCGTCTGTCTGCGCTACAGAAAGCGCAAAACTGGCCGCATTAGAACAAAGGGCTGCACTTCTGGCAGAAAAACAAGAGCTTGAATTGCACAAAGCACGTATTGCAGCACAAATGGAAGTTGAAACAGCACAAATAACTGCTCGTTTGGAAAAACTTTTGTTGGATACTGCAATAGCGGAGAAAAGAGCACAAGTACAAGTCCTCAGTCAATTTGAAGGTGCTGGCACGGACGGCATGAATGAGTATGCCACCACAATGGGGACATCTAGTGGACAAACAACTGAGGTACACACTCAACAGCCTCTGAAAATACCTGTGCCTACCCAACAACAACGCCCACCTGTGGCTACCCAACAACCACCACGCCCACAGCCAGAGAGCACCAGACCCAGAGACATAAGAACTTATTTAACACAGTCTTCAAATGAAATAAGTGGGATTCATATTTTGCAAGTAATGAATAAACAAAATGAAATAACTGAGATTCTTGTGAAACCCAACTGTCACATCTGCCTGTAAAAGAAGTAACAGTGTTTAAAGGTGATCCACTGTCCTATAAAAGTTTCATCAGAGCTTTTGAACAGACGATAGAAATAAAGACTGATGATGTCTGACAAACTGTATTATCTGTTACAGTATACTGTACAGCAGGTGGACCACAAGAGCTTGTGCGCAGTTGTGAACACATGCCCCACACAAAGGCCTACAAAGAGGCTAAAAGGCTCTTAGAAAAGCATGGGTGGCAGTCAGAGATGCCACCCAAGTCTCATAGCACCAGCCCCTCACTGACCCTCTGCAGGTGGTGAGTCCACAGGAGGACGGCTGCTCTCTGAGTGTGAGCATAGCCTTGATCTCTCAGTGGGGGCTTTGGGCAAAGTGGGGTTGTCTTGCCCAAGGACACAACGACAGCAGTCATCAGTGGGAGTCGATGGAGAAGGTGCAGAGGTGGGAATTGAACCCACGACCTTCTGGCCTTAAGGCCAATGCTCGACCAACTGAGCTACTGTCGCCCCTGTGTACCACCCAAAGAAAAAGAAAATACGTGTTGTGTTTGACTGTACTGCCTCCTATCAGAACGTGTCCCTGAATAGTGAGCTACTGCAGGGGCCGGATCTCACTAACACACTTATAGGTGTTCAGAGAGGAGCCGGTAGCAATGATGGCGGACATTGAATCAATGTTTTACCAGGTTACAGTGCCGAACATTGACGCCGACATGTCACGTTTTCTGTGGTGGCCGGATGCAAACTTGGATGCACCCCTCACAGACTGCAGAATGACAGTACACATTTTCGGGGCAACATCATCCCCTAGTGTTGCTTCATATGCACTGCGAAGAACAGCCGAAGAAAGAAATGAAAGTGCAGATCCAGAAGCTGTAAAGACAATTTTGAACCACTTCTATGTAGATGATTGCCTGAGATCAATGCCCTCAGAAACAGAAGCAATCAATCTGATACATAATCTGCACGGTTTATGCATGAAGGGAGGGTTCAACCTTACCAAATGGGTGAGCAACTGCAGGAATGTTCTGGCATCTATACCAGCTGAGCAGCGGGCCAGTGAGTATAAAGATCTAGATCTCACACATGACATCCTGCCATTAGAACGTGCTCTTGGTGTCCAGTGGTGCACAGATGACGATACATTTACATACTGCATAAAGCCCCTGGGCACACCAGCGACAAGAAGAGGCATTCTGTCTGTTGTAAACTCTCTCTATGACCCTCTAGGTTTCCTCTCACCTGTTATTCTCCCAGCCAAACTTCTCCTCCGTGACCTATGCAAAGAGAAACATGGATGGGATGAAGACATCAGTGACCCCCATTGTAAGCTGTGGCACCAATGGCTAAAGGAATTATCGGAGCTTGCAGACTTCAAGGTGAGAAGGTGTGTAAAACCGGAGGACTTTGGGCACACGGTCAAAGCTCAATTACACCATTTCTCGGATGCGAGCGAGCAGGCCTACAGCACAGGATCCTACCTCGTCCTTCAGAACAAACTAGGCAACACCCATAGCTCATTAGTAATGGGTAAGTCAAGGGTGGCACCTTTGAAGCAAGTCTCCATCCCGAGGCTGGAGTTGACAGCAGCCGTCCTCGCAGTAAAGATTGACAAAATGTTGAAAACAGAAATGCATATTCCATTGCAACAGTCAGCATTTTGGACAGACAGTACAACTGTGCTCAGCTACATAAATAATGACTCGACTCGTTTCAAAACATTTGTGGCAAATAGAGTAAACCTCATCCGTGAGGCTACAACACCACACCAATGGTACTATGTGAGAACAAGTGAAAACCCTGCAGACCTGGCCACTAGAGGGATTAAAACAAACACCTTTAAAGAAGAACAGGTATGGCTCAGTGGTCCACAGTTTCTACATCAGGAACAAAGTGAATGGCCAAAGGCACCAAACCTTCAACGTGAACTCCACCCAGAGGACCCGGAGGTCAAAACTATTACAGTTAACAGAGTGGGGGTTAAGGAAAGAGAACATCCACTCAGCAAGCTGATTGACTATTACTCCAGTTGGGACAAGTTAAAAAGAGCAGTTGCATGGCTTTCAAAAGTAAAAGAAATTCTGAACCAACGGAGAAATAAAATAAAAGAGTTACAGAGCATTCTGAGTAAAACAGAAAAGGATCCTGTAAAACTAAAGAAACAGGTGGAACAACAAATTATGAAGTACATGAAAATACTGCCCAAAGAAAAGCTCACCTTAAATGACTTACAAGAAGCTGAAAATGGACTTATTCGCTACAGTCAGCACCAGTGGTATGATGATGAACTGCAGGCTCTGCAAAGCAATCAGCATGTCAAAAAAAAAAACAGCCAATTGTACAAACTTGACCCAGTCCTGCAGCAAGGCAATCTCAGAGTGGGAGGGCGACTAAAAAAAGCGGCAATGCCAGAGCACAGTAAGCACCCTACAATCCTCTCCTAACACTCCAGAGTTGCCTCTCTCATCCTTCAGGACGTTCATGAAAAGATTGGACATTGTGGGCGCAACTATGTCCTCTCAAAGTCACGCCAAAAATATTGGATCCCACAAGTTACTTCAAAAATCAGGAAACTTCTGTCAAAGTGCACAATATGCAAAAAGTTATATGGCCAGCCTGGACAGCAGAAAATGGCAAGTCTGCCAGAAGACCGCCTGATTCCAGATCACCCACCATTCACAAATGTGGGTATGGACTACTTCGGACCTTTTGAAGTCAAACGGGGCCGGGTCAAAGTCAAAAGTTATGGGGTCTTATTCACCTGTCTAACTACAAGAGCTGTGCATATTGAGGTCACAGACAGCCTGGACACTAGCTCCTGCATTAATGCTCTGCGCAGGTTCATCAGTAGAAGAGGACAAGTGGAAATCATACGTTCAGATAATGGCACAAATCTTGTTGGCGCCGACAGAGAACTAAAAGCTGCGCTAAAAGAGCTGAACCAGTCACGCATTGAAAGGAACATGCAACAAAAAGGTATAAAATGGATCTTCAACAGTCCAACAGCTTCTCATCAAGGAGGGATATGGGAGAGGCAGATACGCTCTGTCCGCAAAATACTCTCAGCCCTTATGAAAGAACAATCACTCACTGATGACAGTATGCATACACTCCTCTGTGAGGTAGAAAGTATTATCAATGGTCGGCCAATAACTACACTATCAGATAGTCCACACGATCTTGAGCCACTCACACCAAACCACTTACTTTTGATGAAAATGCAGCCAAATTTACCCCCTGGGGTTTTCAACACTAATGACCTGTACTCGAGACGAAGATGGAGGCAAGTACAATATCTCTCAAACCTCTTTTGGACCAGATGGACTCGTGAGTACATACCTCTCCTCCAGGAACGCCAGAAATGGTCTGCACAAAAAAGAAACTTTCAAGCAGGAGACGTGGTGCTTATAGTGGATAACACAACTCCAAGAAACACATGGACTATGGGAAGAATCATTCAAACTTTTCCTGATGCCATTGGACTGGTACGCAAAGTGATGCTGAAGACAAAGTCCAGTACTTTGGAGAGACCCGTGAACAAGCTCTGTCTGCTACAGGAGGCAGGTCAGAACCAAAGCAAAGACTAAAGACTTCTTATAGTATTATGTTTACAATGTTTTGAACGAATATAAAACAGCTCTCAGTTATGGGTTTTTTGATAAATGCTTAATCTTTACAGAATTAAACATTAGGGCCGGGAATGTGAGAGCCAAAGCAGTTAAAATGCAAAAAAGTGTTTAATTTAAAGCTAAAAATATAAAATAGTTTTATTCTCAATCAGATTTATGTTAAAAATGGTTAAAACCCTAGAAAGTTAAAGTTAAACGGTTACAATTCTTAAGTTAAAGAAAGATCCTAAAATGTTATAAGTTACTGTAAGTCTCATAATGATTAAAGACTGCAAAAAAGCTATTGCAAATATCTAAGTTTAAAAACAGGTAGAGCAGCTTTAAAATCAGAGACACTCCCATTATTTAGACTGCTCTGATGTCATCAGTTTGAGTTTTGAGTGCAGGTGTGGGAGAAGACAGATTTTCTACCTGCAAACTGTGGAGGACTGTAATGTTCATTTTCTATTATTTTTGTTCAATAAATGGACTTAAACGTATTACGTCTCCCTGGTCTCAGTGTCAGAAGAACTTTTGCACCTGGCTCACTGTGGCTGTCTTTAAATGAGCCACCACATCCAATATACATGAATCATAATGAAAACAGCTTTGAGTGTGAGAATGAATTCAACATTACATAAACCTGAGAAACGTCGATGTTTATGTTATGTCCCCTTTAAGTTACGCACCAGTGCAGAGAGAGGTGTCGCAAGAGGGGAAGCGCTTCAGAGATGGTTTCGAGATTTAGTTCAACCATATCTTTTCAGAGATCAACTCATGAGCCTTTGCAAGACATTTGCACAGTCGTGCTTCCAAGTCAGCATCAACTCCTTTCGTCCAATCAGAATGCTCCGCTCCCCACCTTATATTTCCACCCTGCCCACATCCACTCAGTCTTCTCACGATGGTGATGCTGAACGCTGTCCTCCTCCCTGTGCTCTGGACGCTGTGTGAGTTTGAGCAGATCTGCAGAGAAAACTGGGACATTTACAGACTTTTCAGAACCTGTGTGTTGTTTTTGTGTTGTTTTTCAGGTGCGGCTCAGACACGACAAGTCCAGCAGCTCGAATGTTTGAAAAGGGCAAAGCTCGGAGAGACCGTGGTTCTGAAGTGTCTGACCAAGAGTGTTTGGAGGAACAGGGTTTGGTATAAACAAAGCACCAACAGGAATCTGCATCTGATCGCGTCAACAAATAAGGCCAATGAAGAAAAAGAGTTTGAGGATATTTCAGTCACGTCTACTCCAAATGAAACCAATTTGACCATAAAGAACATGAGAACAGACGATGTCGGCACCTACTACTGTGGAGTACCGAATTCTAATGAAGTTGCTTTTGGATCGGGCACTGTTCTGGAGCTGGATCAGGACTCAGAGCCTCTACAGTCCATGGTCCAGACCCCAGACTTGGTCCCAGTGAAGTCAGGAGACTCTGTGACCCTCAGCTGCTCATTCAACACCAGCCGATGTTCAGGACAAACCAGCGTCACTTGGATTAGAAGTGGTTTGAAGTCTGAGATTATTGCACGTAACTCTGGAAATGAGAATATATTCTGTGGGAGCGCTGGAGAAACTTCTTGTGTTCATAATCTGACTCTGAAAGATGTAAAGTCCAGAGAAGAGGGGACCTACCTCTGTGTGGTGTCCACCTGTGGACACACTCTCACTGGGACAAGGATCCATGTGAACGGTACGGGAAAGATATCTTATATGTGTCTCTTTCACCTCTTGAGGGAATCAGGAAGTTACTTCTTTGATAAAACTGTAACAATAGTCAAAATACATTTCTCACAAAAAACTTCCTAGAAAAGCCTTCTATAAGCTCAAGTTTTATTTATTTTAATAATTTCATCCATTGAAAACACATTAGTGGAAGTTCTGTTGCGAGTACACAGAAGACGGAAAAGTACTTAATATTTGTAGTTTGGAATTCAAAGTATATATTTTCCTTCTTTTGTAGAAACCACAGTTGTCTCTGAGGCCGAGCCCTACACTCTGATTGTGTCAGTCGTTGTGCTTGGACTGGTGGTGTGTGTCCTACTGTGGGGGATTTGGAGAAGCAGCCAGAAAAGAGGTACGTTATATAATGCATAAGTGCCATTTCATGTCCACAGAGCAGTGGCCCTTTATCTCACACACTCACACCAGAATATACGTCTTTTTCAGAAGTGAAGCGCTGTGACCATCGGTCTCTCTCCACTCAGGTCAGACTGAAGTCCTGCCTTCTCATCTGTACTACACTTTCTAGACTCTGAACTGTGGTCCAACACCAACATCAAATACTAACTTGCATCAATCACAGCAATTGTTAGAAATTCAGTCTCATAGATTGCAGTGCATTCCTGTAGCCAGTCGTCTGTTACGATGGTCCAGGTCGTCATCTCTGAGGCCAAACATGGTAAATAGTTTACATGGTCCTTCTACAGTCTATTCAGGCCAACCATCAGACACCGGCTCCACCTGAGGTATATGTACCAAACAACACGATGGCCCCTTTGGAGCTCGACCTTTCACTGTCCAGGGATTGTTCCCACTCATAATTAGAGTAAATGAGTCATCAGAGGCCAAAACCACATGGCCTCGGGCAGTTTTACCCACGGCTGGAGGAGTTGCAAAGTTCCTTTAAAAATGATTTATTTTTCAAGTGTATTTTATAAACATCCACTGCCGTAGTATGCAGTAGTGCTGTAGTACAAATAGATAAAAAAAGGCTTTAGTAAAAGAACTGACAGTGACAACAATGTATCAGAATCCAAAATATAAAAATGATTATCAGAATTTAGATAAAAGAACGATTCAGTTCAACAGTGGTAATTAGCATAAATGAATGAATGAATGAACACAATCCCGTACCACATGAACCCCGTGTTGTACAGGAACCCGATGCAAACAAAATGTCTGAGCCAGACGTGTCGTCTGTGAATGAATGAAGCAGTCTTTGGATGCAGATACAACTAATTGTGAGTTTTCATGAGTTTCTCCTCGGTTACAGCCTGACGACGGCCTCACGTACACAGCTGGGGAGTTGCTGTCTTCCTCCGGGTCGACCACAGCGAGACTCAGGAGAGACCGAGACTCGTACACAAAGGTCTGGTACTGTCACTGCGAATGAGGACCCAGCTCTGAACCCAAACGCTTCCATCAACTCCTCGCTCTGAAGAAATGTGTTTGTTTTCTCTGTTGTTTGCTATGAAATAAAATACTTTAAACTCATCTTGTTGTTTGTTTTTGGAGGAAACTTCATTTGTGTTTTTCGGGTCAGATACTCGTTTTTATCGGAGAATAACTTACATTTGTTAAAGCAAGTAAGAAACCTATCAAAGCTTGGGTTGTTCTTACATACACCTAAAATACATGTCAATAAATCAGGAAGATTTTAGCCTCAGAGTATTAAAGTGGATGAAGATAAAACATCTCCAGGTCTAAGACTTTGAAGTTTCTTTAAATACGACAGAGTGTAAAGAAACTTCCTGATTTCAGTCGCCTTTTGCTTCCATCTGTTGTATTTATGTTCTTCCATTCAGACTTAAGTACACTGGTAGCAGGTACCATCAACAGAGACGAGGGGGGCCTTCACCTTGGCTCACACTTGGGACTCACTTCTCCAGAGGCCACAGTCCGGCGGGGGGGCTTTATGTTCAAGCCTTAAACATAAAGAAGACATAATACACTTTTTTAAATTCATGTCCAGGTCTGTCTTGTGTTTATCGTCATTGAACTGATGAAGAAAAGCCGGTTATTTTCACAGCTTCAGTGAAACCACAGGCTCTCTCAGCAGCAGTGCATCATGGTCCGTCAGACATGTTCACATTCTGCTGCCAAAGCCACACAGGACTGAAGGCTGTGGTTTGAAGGGTGTATCTCTGCATCTGTACTGACTTTTTTGTTTTGGTCATATCCGGTTGGAGCCGGTGCTTTTCTCTCACAATGTTCAGTTATTATAGAAGACAGAAACATAAAGTATTAGATAATGTCAGATTAAAGTCGTTCTTTTAGACACTGGACAAGTTTCAGTTGTAGAAGTTAGCAGCATGTTTAAATGGTGTCTAAAAGATTCAGTTATAGATCTTAAAAACATTTGATAATCTGTCATTGGAGGAAGAAACTGGACTTTACTACAGAAGAGCTTAGAACTTATTTGGAGACATTATATTTGTTGTTAAGCAGCGGGTAGAAAAATTTCTTCTAAGTGCCGATGAGAGTTCTAATTATAACTACATTGGGCCTCATGTATGAAAGTTGCGTAGAAAAGGGTGTATATTCCATTTACGCAACATCCGACGTGGCATTTATGAACGTGTGAGATACGCACAGATCTGAGTTTACGCACCTGCGGCTGTTGATAAATGCCGCGCTCAAAACCAGCGTGTTTATGAAAGTCACGCCTAGAAATATTCAGAAACTGCCTTATCCACGCCCTGTTTTTGCGACTGTTTTTGAATTAGGCAAAAAGTGTATTTTATAAACATCCACTGCCGTAGTATGCAGTAGTGCTGCAGTACAAATACATAAAAAAGCTTTAGTAAAAGAACTGACAGTGACAACAATGTATCAGAATCCTAAATATAAAAATGATTATCAGAATTTAGATAAAAGAACGATTCAGTTCAACAGTAGTAATTAGCATAAATGAATGAATGAATTAACACAATCCCGTACCACATGAACCCCGTGTTGTACAGGAACCCGATGCAAACAAAATGTCTGAGCCAGACGTGTCGTCTGTGAATGAATGAAGCAGTCTTTGGATGCAGATACAACTAATTGTGAGTTCTCATGAGTTTCTCCTCGGTTACAGCCTGACGACGGCCTCACGTACACAGCTGGGGAGTTGCTGTCTTCCTCCAGGTCGACCACAGCGAGACTCAGGAGAGACCGAGACTCGTACACAAAGGTCTGGTACTGTCACTGCGAATGAGGACCCAGCTCTGACCCAAACGCTTCCATCAACTCCTCGCTCTGAAGAAATGTGTTGGTTTTCTCTGTTGTTTGCTATGAAAAAAATCCCAGCTCATTTTGGATTGTGAGAATTGATGTTCTGAGTTTAATGTATTCATTACAGACGCAGATGAAATGTACTTATTTAGACGTTCAACCTGAGGACTGACTCAGCATGTGACTGGTCCCACCCACAACAGAGGACACAGTCTAGACCTGCTAATTACCAATGTTTCAAATGTAAATGTGCTCGATGTTGCTGTGTTGGATCATTTTTCGGCTAGTGGGAGTCAGAACTAAGCATGGGGAGGCAGCATTTCGGTTTACTGCAGCTAAAACCTGCAGTAATCTCACCCTGCCCCTCTCCCCCACTGTCCGCAACCTGGGAGTCATTTTTGACCCCATCCTGTCATTTGAACACCATATCCAAAATCTCTGTAGAATCTCCTTTTTTCATCTCAAAAACATCTCCAAACTCCGCTCCACTCTCTCCCCGTCTGACGCTGAAACTTTAGTTCATGCCTTTGTCTCTTCCAGGCTGGATTACTGCAACGCCCTCCTCGTCGGGACCCCGGCAAAAAGCCTTCAAAAGCTTAGGCATATCCAAAATACCGCTGCCAGGATCCTGACGAGGACGCCGAAGCACCAGCACATTGCCCCAGTCCTCCGCGATCTTCACTGGCTTCCACTCATCCAACGCATCCAATACAAAATCTGCCTCCTCACCTACCAATGCATCCACGGACATGCCCCGGACTATCTCACAGAACTTCTCACTCCTCCGCCCATAACCAGAGCACTCCGGTCCACAGACACCAACCTCCTCTCCATCCCCAGAACTAAACTCCGGACAATGGGTGACAGGGCTTTGCAGGCGGCTGCTCCCAAACTGTGGAACGCCCTACCACCACACCCGAGGGCCCCACAGTCATTGGAGACCTTCAAAAGAGGACTTAAAACTTTTCTGTTCCCTTCTTAACATTGTTTTAACATTGTTTTAACTTTAATGATGTGTGCTTTTATTGTTGTTGTTCTGTAGCACTTTGAGATTTGTATGTAAAGTGCATTACAAATTAAAGGTATTATTATTATTATTATTATTATTATTAATTGTCTTCCTGAAAATATGAGAAAGGCTTCGTCTCCGACAAATCCAGGTTAAAAACAGTTCTGTTTAGCTGTGCTACAACTGAAGGAATGCTTCTTCACCTGGACATTTGTGACAGTTGAGTTTTACCGTCCTGGTGATGTGAATATGATTTGAATGCCTTGTGTGATTGTATCTTGTTTTGTTAGTGTTGTGGAAATTCTGCACATACCCAGAGTAAAATAATGTAAACAACCAAGAGCTGTAAAACCATCAAAGTGTGAGTTTATTCATTAGTAAATGTGCACAATTACAATGAATAACAGAACCGATACCAATACCACCTGCAGCCGTCTGAAATCGACTGCCCCGATTGAGGAAATTACTGTACATTAAATAGACCAGAGTAAACAAACCCATATCTACTCTAGATATTACAGAGATGAAGTCAACATTGATATGTGTTGCTCAAGGCTTCTCTTTACGCGTCCTAACGCTGCTACAACTCTGATATATGTAACAATCTGCTTTTGAACTGAACATATTGTTCTATGACCCAGGTCAAAGACATGATGCAGCTCGTCTCCATCTATCACTGACCTGCTGCCAACAGAGCATCATGGCCTGTATCTGAATCCAGAGTTCACTGTTAGTTAATAACTTACACTCATAACTGTTTGGTGTTCATTCAGATTGCTTTACTAAAATATTTCTATAACATTAGTCCTTTGAGTCACCTTGTTGATGAACTATGCTATACATATAAACATACAGTGCCTTGCCTTTCATTGAACACCACCTTTAAAATAAATCCCAGCTATGCTGGAGCAGAAGGCAGGTTTTATTAATATGAGAGAATGTTTGAGTTTGTCAGGTATATAAAGGTTAAGATAAGATAGACTTATTTGATCTCACACTGGAAAAAGGTACATGTCACATTTGACACAGATAGAATCACTCAGATTGTGCAAAGGACAGAAGTGTGCAACATATTAAAGGATAAAAGTATAATCTGTGCAGGATATAATTATGTACAATAAAAAAGTGGCAGTAATTTCAGTCCTTGTGCATCAGTGACTTGTACAGTCTGACAGTGGTGGGGACGAAAGCCCTGCAGTGGCTGAGGCCTTCATCCCTCCTGTCCTTCACCTCCTCCACAGAGTCCAGGGGCCTCCTGTC